TGTTGGTGGTATTGAAAGTATACCACATTCATGGTAGATTATTTCAATAACAATAATTCTCATGTATATATATATAGTGATATTATTTTAGGCCATGGATTGTTAGTATTCGATTAGTTTCCACGAATTCTCCTTTTTGTGGTGCATATTTCAATCTGTTAATTAGTCTTCTAATTCTTCTCATTTTTTAATGTTTATATTTAGGTGGTTCACTTATTACTGATCGATATGTTCTTACAGCTGCTCATGTATTTATATAATTCTATTCATAATATAATAATTTTATTTAGTCTATTTAGTGTTTTTATGATGAATTAAAAAAGACTGGTGGTAGAACAACTGAAGCAATTAGATCTAAATATATCTTTGTAATTGGTGCTCATTATTCAATAGAAAAAAATACATATTTAAATAGTCATTTACATGTATCAGCGAATTTAATTATTATACATCCACAATATGATACAAATACCAAAGTTAATGATATTGCTCTTATTGAATTAAGTAGATCAATTGATTTAACTGATAAAACAATTGGTTTTATATGTTTACCAATGGCTACATTACGTTATCCAAAATTATTTCCATCTGATCGAGCAGATGCTGTAATATTTTCATATGTATTACGTTTTGTTTCTTTATTACTTATTTCTTCAGATTGCTATTGGATGGGGGCGTATACGTGAAGGTTCTTTTGGTCGTGCTAGTAATGTACTTTTACAAGTTGAGTTACCTATTCAATCACCTTATATTCGACCATCAGATTGTGCTGATCAAGTATATGATCCAGAAAAACAATTTTGTGCTGGTTTTATTCAAGGTGGAAAGGATACTTGTCAAGGCGATAGGTTTCTTTTCATATAAATCAAATTTTTTTCTTTTTGTATTAATCAATATTTTTCTAGTGGTGGACCATTAATGTTGACTTATAATCAAACATGGCAAATTGTTGGGATAACTAGTTATGGTGAAGGTTGTGCACGAGCTCGTAAACCGGGTAAGTTAAGCTTAAAAAATCCTAAAGGTGATTATAAGGTTTTGACTACAAAATGGAATATATGGGGACTTGTTGAAAAATACTTCCTTCATCTAATAATGTATGTAGTTCTGTAGTCAAAAAACTTATAATCACTTTTAATAGATTATTTTCAATCATTTTTTTTAGGTGTGTATACTCGTGTAAGTGTCTATCGTGATTGGATCAATTATACAATAAGCAAAAATATATTGAATTATGAAACACAACTTTTTAATATACCAAATAATATTGATATGAGTAATGATCTAGAAATTTGGTGGGATAGAGAAGT